CAGGTTGCTCAGCCCCAGGTGGGCGATCTGGGCTTGAGCCTCCGCTTCCATCGCTGGGTGTGCGGCCTCCAGAACTTTCCCTCTGCAGCCGACGCCTGGAGCCTGGGGGAGGGGTCGGCAGCCAGGCTCGGGGCCCTGGGTTGGCGACTGGCTACCACAGGATCCTGGTGACAACGTAGGTTTTGTGTTTCTGGCTGCTAACTGGAAGGTTGTCGCTTCCAACCCACTCGCTGATCGACGGGAGCAAGGTGTGGCAGGGTAGCTCGCAGGAGAGATTGACAGCTCTGGACACTGGATGGGGTGAGCTTCTGCTCTGTCCTAGAGGGCTGCTCTGGGCCGGAATCTGTTGGATGGTGGAGGGCTTGGCTTGGGAGGGTGCAGCCCCCCTGCCTCTCTCCTAGTACTGAACACAGCTCTGCTGTGCTGATTCCTTGACTTGTGCCATAAACCTTGATTGGGAGCCTGCTGTTTGAGGCCCTGGGGCTGCAGCACTGAGCCCAGAGACAGCAGTCCCGCCCTCCGGAAGCAGAGCCTCTTGGCGGGGTGGGGAGGATATGATTGGGAGGCAGACACATCCACTGCTCCAGGATCGAGCTGCTCAAACTCCAGGCATGAGTGCTGAGCCCTGGTCAGGCCAGGGTCTCCTTGGCCCCTGCTCCTGATACGTGCTCAGCCCACCTGGGAGGCACGCCGCAGTTTGGGAAGCGTGCACACCCCCACTTGTCCCCTGTGAGCCCGGCAGGACACTGTGGCGACAGGATGTACCCATGACCCATCTCTTCTTTCCAGACGCGCCATAGCAGCACCTTCCATTTGGCCCTTGACCCCCCACACAAAGAACTGTCCCCATCCGGACTGACTCATAGCTCCGGGGAAGCAAGTTCCCACACCAAGGCCACGGAGAAGCCTGATAGGAGCACTGCTCTGTGGACCTTGCTTGTCACCAACCAGCGATGGGAGGAGTTGAGAAGGGGCCCCGTTTACAGGCTCTGGGGAGCGCGGCCTGTCGAATGGTCACTCTCAGGGCAACTTGGATGAGCTGTTTCCCAGCCCCAGGAGGCGGCTGGCACCTCTGCTTGTCTGTCCCGTGGACCACCTGACAGGGGCCTTTTTCCTCACCATGTGCAGGGCCAGCCTGGCCTTCCACGGAGTTGCAGTGAGCAGAATCGGTAGTCTTTCAGCTGCTTTAAAAAAATACCTTCCCCTCCTCTGGGTCGGAGGGGTTTCCTGGAGGAGCAGGGGCTGGGGTGGAGGGAGAAGCAGCAGGAGCTGAGGCTGAGAGGACTCAGACAGACCTGCTGGCAGCTGGCTTCCCTTGTTAACTGAGCAAGCGTCCACTCTTCATCTTTATCTGTAGATTGGGGACAGCAAACGTACCCTGCTGGCTTGTTGGAGGCACCTATGCCTGGGCCTGCAGCAAGTGCATCCAGGTGTGGGGGCCAAGCTGTGTGCCCACTTTACAGTGAGGCCAGACAAGGCACACAGCTTCCGGGTCTCTCACTGTGCTGTGCGGGCACCGTGTGAAGCTGAAGAAGGCTTGGCACCTGTAGGTGCCTAAGAGAGGCCAGGTGGGATGTAGTGTCCTGTCTCTCTCTTTCGGAAGGCCCCTGCCCACTCTTGTAGGTTGGGGAGGTGTGGATAGGCTTTAGTTATGAGAGGACTCCATTCTGGGGTGTGAACCCCCAGGGGCTCAGAGAAAGGATGAGGGACCAGCGACCACGTATCAATCATCTCTCCTGGTGGAGTGAGGTACCCTGGGCCATAGTGTTTCCAGGTCTCTGTCAGGCAAAACCGGACGCACTGGCTTATCGAACAACGGTGTGAGTGCTGGGTGAGGTGCAGGCTTGTGTGTGTGTTTTACAATTTACACCATAAGCTCCCGCCCCCCCAGGAGCCCGTGGTGTAAATTAAGAGCGAGGGAGAAAAGCCATGGATGCAAACAACTCCGACATAAGGCCCGGGGTGAAAAATATTCCTGGAGAAATAGAAGTCAAGTGTTAAGGAAACTCAGAGTCGGGAGATGATATCAAATTGGGGGAGGGAGGGGAGGCGAGGAAGATGGGGAGGCTTCGTGAGGAAGCAGAGTGGTTCCCGACGTCTGAGTAGGGTCGGCCATGGCCGGGGAATGGGTGGGAGGCAGGGCACTGTCATCCCAGGAGGGATGGACGCGTGGGACAGAGCATAAGACTGGGCGTCAGACCAACCCAGTCAAGTCCACAGCTCTCGGGCGACCTTGAGAAAGCCTCTTTGGACCTTTCTACATGTTAGTTTATGGGGACCAGAAGGGGAAGGGTGGCTCGGTAGGACTTCCCTGGCCCTCTTCCTGGGTTGGCAGGAGGTTCTATACGTGATAGAAGTTAGAGAACTGTGAGATGTTGTCTCAATGCAGGGGTTCTTTCCCACTTTTTTCTAAAAGCAGAGCATCGACGAATCCAGGGACAAGGCTCCTGGGCAAGAGCATGGTCATGACCAGCCTGGCGGGGCCAATGAGCTGTCCAGCCCAGAGCTGCGCTGACCCCACCGTCCAGGGTTTTGGGCAGGGCATAGTTCATCTTCATGGCATGATTGCCCTGAGAGATTAAGGCTATCCCTCAGACACCACTGGCTTTCCTAAAACCACACCGTTGTCTGTCTTTGTATCTAACCCCATCCATCCATCCATCCATCCATCCTCACCCAATAAACCTTTGATGGGTACAGTGAACCCTCGCCACTTCGCGCTTCGACTTCCGTGGCTTCACTCTATCGCGGTTTTTGCGTAACAGCACCCACTGCCTACACCCGCTCCTTCAGAGGAAAAAGATGGCGACCCACCTGTAGAGTACATCCCTTAAGTCATTTCATAGGCTATTGATGACAGTATTTGTAAGAACCATGTATAATAATACTGTATGTGAAATATGTAATACTGTAAACTAGATGCCATAAATAATATAATAAATAATAAATGATAATTGTAACGTCCAAAATGTTTTACTGTATTTTCCCTTTTTCGTTTAATAAATTGGGTAATACGAGTGTAATGGTGACTAAAGGGTGTTTTTTCATGTCCTCTATGCTCCAACTATGAAAATATTTGATTTACAAATAAGGAATCCTACTTCACGGAATTTCATTTATCATGGTAGGGTCTAGAACCGATTAACCGCGATAAACGAGGGTTCACTGTATGTCCATATCCAAGCACCCTGTTCAGGGCTGTGAAGGCAGAATCACATTAGACACCCCCTCTGTGCTGCCCAAGAAGTTCACAGTCCAGGTGGGAAGGAGGCATATAAACTACTAGTCATTACCCTTCTTAAATCCATTTCTACTCAGTTCTGCCTTGGAGGGGGTAACACGTTCCATGGACCACAGACCAGAGTTTTAGAAGCTGTGCGATCTTACCAATCACCCCTCCTACTTCGTTTATTTTGCTGATGAGGGAATGCTGATGATTCTTTGTTGTGGAACATACTAGGGCTTCCTCTTAATCACTCCCAGATGTCCTTTTCGGGGTTTCAAGTCCAGCTTCATTCAATTTAATCTTTATGAAGCATCTATTGTGTGGACGGCTTGTGCAAGAGCTACAGATAGAGTGTAAAGACCTCCTGCCTGCCCTGCAGCTTAGAGGCCACAGCCCAGGGGCTGGGGGAGGCCACACGCAGGAAGAGCAGCGCTACTGCTTGATAAAGGCACAAGCTACGGGGAACACAGGTGGGCCTCCATCTGGATTTGGGGAGCTCAGGAGAGACTTCCTAAAAGAAGACCCATGGGCCACCTCTTGAGAGGCCCGTGTTTGATGAAGATGCCAGGGGAGGGCATGCTAGGCCGATGGAAGAGCAGGGGCAAGGACACGGGGTGTGGGCTAGCACAGTTTATTGGGGAGCTACAAGAAGTGTGGAGCTGGTGGGACCAAAGGCCACCCTCCCTTCCTGGATCTGGTGACCAAGTCTTTGTTCACGCTACTCCCTGAAAGTCAGAAGCCCCCACCATCCTCCCTTGGCCTTCCTCGTGACAGATGGAAGAGCCTAAGTGTAGCAGTCCCTCTTTTGGGGTCAGGTTCCAGTCCCTCCACTTCCATGATGTCTGCCTTGATTACTCTCTGCTTTCAACGAACTCTCCTACCTCTACTCCTGCAGCGCATCCTCTATGACCTCTACCACAGTCCTCTGTCATCCCTTGGGAGTATGGCTTGTCTCCGCCCTGAGGCCATGAGCTAGTTGCGAGCGAGCGAGCTAGGTGAGCCATATCGTAGATGCTTCGTCAATGGCAGTAAGATAACAAAACCCAACTCACTGCCATCGCCGATGCACAGCAACCCAATAGGACAGGACCGAGCGGCTCCTGTGAGTTCCTGAGACGGTAACTGTTCATGGGAAGAGAAAGTCCCATCTTTCTCCCTCGGAACAACTGGTGGTTTTGCGCAGCTCACCTGGCAGAGCTCAGTCCCACGTGTAACCACGACCCACCATGCGCCCTACCAGTAAGGGGTGTCCGAGGAGCCGGAGTTTTAAGACACAAGGAAAATGCTTCCTCTCTGGACTCAGACAGGCCGAGTTGGATTGCAGCTCCGCCATTGACTAGTCCACAACGGTGGGCACGTGTCCGAATCTCGCTAGTGCCCCGTGTCCTCATCTACAAAATGGGTGAGGGCCCCAACGCAAGGCTGTGGTGAAGACATAGCTGTGGCAGAAGCGTGAGGGGTTCCAATAGTGGAGACTCAGACACCCCAAAATGCTGGGCGGATGCCCAAGAGCAGTGCACCTGTGGAACAGAGTGCAAATGCAACGTGACGGAGGACCCATTGGGGAGCAGCTCCCAGGGACTCCGCTCACCTGCCGGCCCTTAATCAACTCAACTCTCACGGCCATCGCGTCGATGCCAACGCACAGCGACCCTACAGAACCGTAACACCGTCCCTGTGGGTTTCCGAGGCTGAAACTCTTTCCGGGAGCAGATAGCCCGTCTTCCCCCCAAGGAGTGGATGGTGGCTTCAAACTGAAGTCTTTTGGGTTAGCAATCCACGGTGCCACCACTGCACCACCGTGGCTCCTCTGCGGATCCTCGAGTGGGTTACAAAGAGCCTGACCCCCACTTACAAATGGAGGGTCTTCAAGGTGAAGCACCTGGCCCAAGGTTGTGCAGCACACAGGTGCTGATGAGAGGGACTGGGCGGGCGTGCTCTGGCGGAGGGTGGGGTGCTCGTTCTGTAGAAGGAGAGAGGGAACACGGCGGCTGTGTGTAGGCGCGCCTGTGGGGTTGTTAGTTCATGTCCAGTGGCCAGCCCCCTTGCACATCAGGTACCTGTAGGTATGGGTCTAACAGCTGCAAACGTTCAGTGCCAACTGGGTGGGAAACAAGCCGGGGTTCGCAGTGCTTTGGGGCTCTCGGGGCGCAAACACTCCTGCCACACCGATTTCGAGCCACCAACACGGCATCATGGAGTTGGCAAGAGACACGTGTGGCTGGTGTGACAAGCCACTGACACGCTGGGAGGAGGGGCTGTTCCAGGGCTGCCCTGCCCAGTGGGTGGGGGAGCCTCTTCATGGTGACTTGCATCAAAACCTTCCCCATACCCAGGGGTAGGGACAGGGACCCTTACGGAGGAGCAGAAGGCAGCCATCACGTGGAGGATGGGCCTGCAGCCCAGGCAATGTGACCCTAGAGCCCAAGCTCTGGCCACGGTGCTGTCCTGCCCTCCTTCATGACAGGAGCGCCAGCTGTCTCAGAGGCACCCGCTGCCAGGTTCTAGCCCATTCCCAAACAGCCCTCCCTGTGTCTGGGCCCTGGCATCGTCGGAGCCCCCACCCCATCCTCCACCCATGATAACAGGACACGCTCTGAAAGGCCCCATCTGGACGCAGATGGCAGGAAGCGGGCCCAGAAAGGTCAGCCAAAGCGGAAGGCAGGGGCGAGGTGGCACAGAAACCCCCAGGACTGGCGTCCTTCCCTGAAACTTGGTTTCTCACTGCCTAGAAGCACCAACATAACCGCGAAGGTCAGAGAGGCGGGCACAGGCACCACCACCAATGACAAGGACAACAATACACAGCGACCTCCAGCAGAGAAGACAATCTCTGGCCTACAACAGAGTCATGGCGATTCATTAGGGAATCTTTGATCTGAACGGTGTGATCTGGAGTCTCGAACCAAACAGGCGGCTCTGCTTGGGATGGAAGAGGGGGAGGGACATGAAAAAGGAGCCCCAGAGCAGGAAGGCGGGTGAGGGGTGCTGGAGGGGGCTAGGTGAGCAGGCACGAGTGGGCCCCTGGAGCTGGAGACCTCAGGCCTGCAATGGAGGAGCCCCGACGTTGTGATCGCTAATCAAACGCAACTCACCCAGACCCTGCAGCACAGAGGACAGCTGCTCCACAGAGTCTCCAGGGCTGTCGGCTGATGAAATCAGACGGCCAGGCCTGTCACCCAGGAGCGGTTGGAAGGTTCGAACTGCCGACCTGTGAGGTAGCAGCTTGAGTGCTCGTTCACTGAGCCATCTGGGCCCGGTCCACAACCTGTAGTGAGATACAAAGGAACAAGTCCCTGATAATAAAAGCAGTCAGTTACTGCGCACGGACAATCATAATTTTTCAGGTTCGAGGCTGGTGGCTTGCAGGGTTGCCATGAGTCAGAATCTACTCGATGGCAGTGAGAGAGCCTGCAGTTCAAGTGTTCAGTGACCGGGGTTGACAGGCAGGCAGAGTGGAGACGTGAGTGGATGCTCAGAGAGCAGGCGGGTCTCATTTGGGGCAAAGCGGTACCTGTCCCTGACTGGGCCCTTTGTGGCTCAACCCTTCAGAACCAGAACCGTGCTAGAAGCTCACTGCTGTGTGTACTCATCTGGGCATGTGTGTGTGTCTGTGCATGTGAGCAGCTCAGTGTGTGCACACTTGTACAAGGGAGTCATTTGGGCCTGCCAGGTGAGCAAACCTGTGCACATGAGTGCAATGGTGCTCACGTGTGTGTGAGCATGTGCATGTGTGAGTGTGGGTTGTGTGTGTGAGCACGTGCAGGTGTGAGTATGGATGACTCCTGGCCTTTCTTTCTCTCATCCATGCAGGTCAGAGGACAAAGGGCTCTAAGGAAGCAGCCAGGCAGAGATGCCTCCCTCGAAGGACCCCAGGAATGCCTGGGGGATCCCAGGACACCCCCTCTTCACCGTCCTATGGCTGTTGCTGTTACAGACGGACCATTCCTTTGGAAGTCCCTCTGCACACAGTGGGAGCTTCATGAATACTTGATGGTGATGGGCTCTAACCTGGGAAGGTGGCAGCTGTTCCCAGCACTGACTTTCAGAGCCCTGTGGAGCAAATCCGGAAGGGAGGGACCACAGGGGTCTTCAGACTTCCTGCCAGGTCTTCCTCCGGACCATCAGGGAAGGGTCTGGAGCCAGGTTCCACTTCACATGTCCTGCTTGGTTGTGTTTGGGTGTAGGGGGTGGTGGTGGCAATCTCTTTCCCACCCCATCACCCCATCAGCCCGTCTGTGTGCAACTTTCAGTGTACACAGGGAGCTGGTGCGGGGGCTGGGGTGGGGGTGGAGTCAGACGGGGCTGGGTCCAGACCCAAGCACGGTGAGTTACACGCTGGGCGGCATCTGGCCATTTATCTGTGCTTGAGCTTTTTTTAAAAAAAATTTTTATTACAGCTTTCATCTGTAAGAGGAAAACGATGACGTCATTTTCAGGGGGTGATGTGAGGGTTAGAAATAACCGCGGCGCCTGCACCCCCTCCCCCACCCTTCACCCCCCTTCGCAGGCGCTCCGCTCAGTCGTGGTAGGTGAGCTTCTGCACCTGGCGTCAGGATGCCGGGGTCCTCCCTGCTGCTCTGACCTTGAAGCAGCTACTCGGTACCTCTGAGCATCAGTTTCTGCCTTTGTGAAATGGGCACAGGAGACACACTTCCTTGGGCGTTCGAGGGATGTAATGAGATCATGCGTGGCAACAGCCACCGGAGCCCCGGGCCATTACTAAATGCATTTCTCCTCATCTTCCTAATAGGAGTGCTCAGCTCCCCTCCTCCGGAGGCCCTCTGCCTCCCGCCGGGCCACCAGCGCGAGCTCGCCTCCTCCATCGGCCGGCCGCGGGCTTGCCGGGTTCTGCCATACCTGTCGGAGGAAGGAGGGCAGCGCCCTCAGCCCGGGGGCGGAGGAGCCAAAACTACAGCTCCCAGTCCGCGCTGCGCTGGCACCGGGACCCAGGAGCTGCGGGCGGCAGGCCCCGCCTCCGGGGCGGAGCCTAGGCGAGGGGCGGGGCCAGGGGTGGTTGGAGAGTTAAGGCAAGCCAATGAGACCAGCTGCTAATAAGTGGGCTTGGCTTACAATGTAACTGTGGCAGGAGGAGGCGAGAGAAGCTATCGAGCCAGCGAGGAGGGAAGCTGAGCCTGGTCTCACACGCTCCTGGAGGACCACCTCCGGAGACTGAGTTCTTTTTTCCTCTCTTCTTTTCCAAGCTGCCCTCCTGCACGCCCTCCCTGCCCAGTGCCATGCATTCTTGAGTGGCAGCGCGCGGACACCGGAGAAACCGAAGCCAGAGAGAGAGAGGACTGGAGCCAAGATACTCTGGTGGCGGAGCTTGGATGCCTGGCTTTCTTTGAGGACATCTTTGGAGCGAGGGTGGCTTTGGGGTGGGGGATTGTGCTGCAGGCAATTCAGCCAGGCCCCAAGATGGACACTTCTGGGCACTTCCATGACTCGGGGGTCGGGGACCTGGATGAAGACCCCAAGTGCCCCTGCCCATCCTCCGGGGATGAGCAGCAGCAGCAGCAGCAGCAACAGCAGCAGCAGCCACCACCACCACCACCACCAGCGCCACCAGCAGCCCCCCAGCAGCCCCCGGGACCCCCACTGCCGCCTCAGCCTCCACAGCAGCCAGCGCACCCCCTGTGTCAACTCCAGAGCCAGCCCGTCCACCCTGGCCTGCTGCACTCCTCTCCCACCGCCTTCAGGGCCCCCACTTCGTACAATTCCACCGCCATCCTCCACCCTTCCTCCAGGCAAGGCAGCCAGCTAAATCTCAATGACCACTTGCTTGGCCACTCCCCAAGTTCCACAGCTACAAGTGGGCCCGGTGGAGGCAGCCGGCATCGGCAGGCCAGCCCCCTGGTGCACCGGCGGGACAGCAACCCCTTCACGGAGATCGCCATGAGCTCCTGCAAGTACAGTGGTGGGGTCATGAAGCCCCTCAGCCGCCTCAGCGCCTCCCGGAGGAACCTCATCGAGGCCGAGCCGGAGGGCCAACCCCTCCAGCTCTTCAGCCCCAGCAACCCCCCTGAGATCATCATCTCCTCCCGGGAGGACAACCATGCCCAGCAAACCCTACTCCACCACCCCAACGCCACCCACAACCACCAGCACGCCGGCACCACGGCCAGCAGCACCACCTTCCCCAAAGCCAACAAGAGGAAAAACCAAAACATTGGCTATAAGCTGGGACACAGGAGGGCCCTGTTCGAAAAGAGAAAGCGACTGAGTGACTATGCTCTGATTTTTGGGATGTTTGGAATTGTTGTTATGGTGATAGAGACTGAGCTTTCTTGGGGTTTGTACTCAAAGGTAGGGCTGCGGTTTCTCTTTCTACCTTGAACAAAAGGAATATATGTAGGGAGTGAGAGAATGAGAGAGAGAGAGAGAGAGAGAGAGAGAGAGAGAGAGAGAGAGAGAGGCAGCGAACGAGGGAGGTGGTGGCGGGGAGAGGTGTTTGCTCAATTATCTTGAACACTCTCAACTTCCCATGGTTTCCCTTCCTGATCCCGGGAGAATTCATTCCTTGCTTTCGTTTGGGCTGGGGGAGGGGGGAAGGGGGGTATCCCTGGAGGGTGGGCATCCCTCTGTACCGCGTCTAATTTGCAGACTCTGTGTTAGGGAGGATTAAAGATTCCCTTCTGAGAAATCGCTTTTCCTCCCGGCTCACTCGTCCTAAAGCATAACCCAGCAGCTTCACGCACCAATTAATTATATGCTGCCTTGCCAGTTCCCGCGACTTCCCCCTTCGCCTCCCCTCCCGGCTCCACTCCATTTTCCCCAGCATAAAAAAAGAAAGAAATGTCTGGGTGGGGGGTGAGATCCCGAACCCCCCACCGCTTCCCTCCCTGGCTTCCCCCCTATCTTTCTCCAAGTTTCTCTTTCTCTCTTTTCCCCCCAGAGACTCTGGGGGGCACCTGGGGGAGGGGGCATCGGGGTAAAGACATGGGCGGAGGAAATTAGCACCCTCTCCCTCAGGAAAGAGGACCTGCTGCCTGCTGCTCCTGCCTCATAAACATCCCCTGACAAAAATGGCCACAGGTGTTACCCGGGAGAGCAGATGGGTGCCGTCTTGGTAGTCGCGGTGGTGGTAGTGGTGGTGGTGGTGGTGGTGGGCGCCTGTCCTTCCTTCCGATGGAATGACAGCCTTCCTGGTTGGTCCCTGTCAGTCCATACCCCTGGCTGAGCAACGCCCCCCCCCACCCGCTTGCCCGAACTCCTTCTCCCCAGATAAATAAAGATGTGTGTGTGTGTGCGTGTGCGTGCATATGCTCACGTGGAGAACGGCAGGGACCAGCTTTGGCAGGGGAGCTGGCCGGAGGCTGCAGCCCCCAGATGGAGGAGGGGGCTCCCCTCCTAGATGGACTTGAGTAAGGTGGGTGTCTGTCACGGCTCTGTGTGCCAGCGAGTGTTTCTGCCCCCCGCTGGCAGGCTGAGAGGGAGACCTGGGAATCCTTGGACAAATGGATCCCCCCACCCCCACCCCAGTTTGTGGGTGTGTGCTCGTGTCTGGTTGTTGCCGGGATTTCTGTCCATTTAATTGTCATTTTGGGCCAGAGTTGGCCAAGCTGGTCGCTGGCGGGGAGCTGGGAGGGAGGGGTTCAGCTGTTAGAGGTTTCAAATAGAGCTTGTTTCAGGCCGGCGGGCACAGCTGCCATGAGACTGTCACATTCCTTGTTGAAATCTAGCCGCAAAAACCTAGGAGGTGTTGATCGGATTTCCCCTATTCCCAGCCCTGCCTGTGCTCACCCTGGCCAGTGAGCGGGCCGGATAGGCATGGAGATGGGTGGGGGGGACAGGTCTGAATGACCAGAACCAAGACCTCCAGGTCCAGAGTCCCAGGGACCCAGCCATGCTGAGGGGGCCCACCCCAGACCCCTGATAGTGCTTGCAGGCTGCCTACCTCTAAATAGCTCAGGATCGGAGCCCCCCAGTGAGCAGGAGTGAGCGGGGTTTCCCCTGGAAATCGCAGCTCACTTAGTCATTCCCTGTAATGAGCCTCTGAGTCTGAGTGCGGCAGCTGCCTTCTCAGAACGCCTCTCCTGCTGGGCGCCGGGAGGTGGAGATGGGGCCTGAGAGTCCCCTCCAGCCTCCCGGAGGACCAGGAGCCCTGGCTGGGGGAGAAGATGGAGGTCCGAGCGCTGGGGGCGGGCAGAAGCACCACCAGCATCTCTTCTGTCAGTGACCCCCCCCACCCCCCACCCTCAGTCAGGGGGTTACCAGGAAAGGATTTTCTCAGAGGCAGTGGTCCTGAAGGTGACAGGGGAGGGATCGGTGCCCGTTTGTCTTAGTGCGATGGGAGGAAGGGCCTACTCCCGTGCCCCAGCAGGTGCCACCCCAATGGAGCACCCAGAAAAATGGGACTTTTCCAGTGGGGGCAGCAGACTCTGGGTGAGCCCAGGCGCTTGGCTTCACCCATTTCCAAACCTCTGACCTGTGATGGATGGCGGCCTGGAGGGGCGCTGCCCTGCCTCCTCCCGTGAGAGGGCCATGTCCTGGCCTCCCAGGCGGGGCCTGCTCTGGGTTGTGATCTGCAGGATCCTCCCACCCCCCTGCCACCCACCTCCCTGCACGTGCTGACTCACTGGTGGAACTTGTGGTTTCTGGCTGCCGACTCGGTGCCAGGTGCCATGGGCACAGGAGGGGCTTTAAAGACTCAGGACAAAATCTGGACCCCCGTGCCACCATTCCCGGTTATGTACAAGCCCCGCTCTTCCGGTTCCCGGCTGTGAACTTGAAAGGGGTGCTGCCTCTGTTCATGAGATGAGTGTCAGCAAACGGCGTCTGTTTGTACACAAGGCCCCTGGTGTGTGTGCGCAAATGGCTTACTTACCAGTTGATGGTTCGAACCCCTGACACCACAGAAACAAGCCCTAGTGATCTACTTCGGTAATGATGACGGCTCCAAACAGCCCCTCTGGGGTGTTCAGCTCCCCGCCATCGGGCCAGTTCTCACTCAGTGACCCACAGGCAGTGAAGAACTGCCCCCGTGGGTTTCTGAGTCTGGGACTCTCGACGGGAGTAGAAAGCCTCATCTTTCTCCTTCAGGCAGGCTGGTGGTTCTGAACTGCTGACCTTGGGACTAGCAGTCTGGCATGTAACCCATTATGCCACCGGGGTACCCAGTCATAGTCTATCACACACGGGGGTGCCGTGTATCAGACTCAACTTGATGGCAGCAGGTTGATTTGTACTGGTATTAATAATGCTGGCGGGAGGGGTGGCGTCCTTGCCCCCTGTGCTCTGAATCTGACTCCGTAATGAGTTGGGGGCCTTAATGGGCCAGGGACTGAGATGGGTGAGTGAGTGAGAAGTCCTGTCTGGGGCTGAGGGGGGTCTCTGAGCAGGGCCTGGGGTCTGACAGGAGGCCACCTTGAAGTCTGAGCCAGTGGTGTGTGGGGGTCTGTCCCTCAGCCTCATGGAGGATGCAGATATGACCAGGGGGTTGGGCTCAGATAGAAAATCATCAACCTGGGAGAACCCGGAGGGATTCACTGGGCCCTGGGGAGGTCTGGGCAGCCGTCTGCTCTGTGGCTAGCCGTTGCTGAGCAGCCTGGAGGCAGGTGGATGGGCAGGGTGACCGCAGGGCTTTCTGTCAGACTGGGTGATTCTGCACTGATGGTGGGTGGCAGGTCCCACTGAGAGGCCCCAGGTGATTGAAGATGCACCAACCTTGCGCCTGACGCGCTGCTGTCTGAAGCCCTCGGCTTTTCTGCCGGGACCCAGGCCTTACTGTCGCCTATCTTTGGTGGCTAGCTGCTTACTGGGGAAGGCATGTCCCCGTGTCCCCCACCGCCGATCTGGCTCTCTCCAGCAGGAATGTGGCATGTCGTGTTCAAAGTGAATGCCAAAGGGAGGCAGAGTGAGGTGGCGAGAAAGCGGGCAGGGTGCTCCGCTCCCAGGTTCCCACTCCCCGGGCTGTAGGTGATGGCGTGGTGCGGGAAGCTTTGCTGTGAGCTGCCAGGCAGCAGCTCAGAGCAGGGGAGGTGGGGCTCTGGGCTTCCATCATTCTGCCTGATGCCCAGAGGCCTGTGGCAGAGGGACGCCTGGCCGAGATGGCTCTAACCCGGTCTCTGAGATAGCCCTCCCGGCATGGGGCCTGCACTGCACAAGGTGTGTGTGTGTGGGGTGGGTGTAGATGGGTGGGGGGGGTGTGTGTCTCGGTTTGGCTGGTTGATTTTCAACTGGGTGATTGACTTCCTGAGTCCCTGAGGGGTTAGACACAGTGGCAGGGCCGGGTCTGGATTTTCCGATGCAGGAAATCTTCGTGATGCTGCCCCTACCCCGTCACTGACAGGATGAGGGCAAGGAGGGCTGGAGGAGCCCTGGAGTCCTTCTGGAGGCGAGAAAGATGAGGCTGTCCGTTCCACCCAACAGCGAGCCTCAGAACCTCCCAGGAGCAGTCTGCTCTGCCCTGCAGGATCGCTCAGATTCAGGTCCCACCTGACGGCAGGGCTTGGGTCTGAGGTTGTGGGCGTTCTTCATTTTCCTTCAGGGCTGGTTTGGGGCACAGCTGCTTCTGTGCCACCAGCTACTTTCTGGGCTCTCCACCCCACTGGACCCAGAGAGAGTGGGGGGAGGACTCTCTCACCCTCCCGTGTTGTTCTAGTGGTGGCTGAGCCAGCTGGCTGGCACCGGGGCCCCTGCCTCCAAGGCCAGCAGGCTTGGTGGCCGCCGTGGGAGGCTGGAAAGTTCCGGTGCAGTAGGCCAATGCCCATTCCCACCACTCTGTGCACAACCTCAGACCACCTCCCCACCCCTGCGGGGCTGCCTCCCAATCGGCGTGTTTCATCCCTTCCATCTGTCTGTCCGGCTGTCAGGCAGGCAGTACAGCGGGTCCTCTGCTGGACTCCTACCCGCGCTTGCTCATTCTACCGACCTCGTCCCCTCTGTGCCTCCGCTTGGCCTTGTTGTTGGGGCAGGGCAGGGGTGTGGGTGCTCACGAGGCCGCCCTGTCTGCTCCAGGCTCCTTCCCTTGCGTCTTCTGAACTCCCTGGGGTGGGGAGGCACCCTGATGGGGCTGTAGGCTCGCTGTGGCCCTGGGGAGTCCTGTCCCCTAGCCTTTCCCTCTCTGAGTTGCTGGCCTCACAGAGATGAGGGAGTCCGAGTGATGGAATGGTACTGGGGGGGTCTGAGCTTTGACCCTCTGCCCGGCCCTGGTCCTGGAGGAGGAAGACTGCCCTCACTCATGGCTCTGCAGGGGGCAGGGGCAGGGGCAGGGGCACACAGTTCCCCAGTCTCCGGAGCAAAGGGTCTCTATTTGTGACAATTAGAATCGTTATCTGGAGAACTTGGTGGCCTGTGCTGAGCTG